AAAAAATAAAATCAACAGCCTTTGAGCTTGCTAAGTGCAGAAATAACCCAAGTCTTTACAGGAAACTTTACAGTGATGATTTACTGTCTTGGAAGTGGTTGCGAGGGACAAACCACTGGATCGAGAACATCTCCATTCATGGATCCTGGCAGAGCTGGAATAATATAGTGAACAATTTGAAAAATGAAAATGTCCTTTGAAGCAGAGGAGAGGAGCCCATAACCCCAAGGCACAGCTGTCCCACTGGATGGGCAGCTCTGGGAACCTGGGGAACCTCAATAAAATAGAAGTTTCCTCTGCTTTCCTAGGATTTATCTTGATGAGCAGCTAGCAAGGGAGTAACAAGGAACGTGACAAAAATAACCTGCTCCATGATTGAGACCCAGAGACTCTCAGGAATCACTAGCAGTTAGAGTCTAGTCTTGAACCGTTTTCACCTTACTTAGAGGGAACCATGCATGCCACTTCCCAAAGAAAGACTCCATTTCAGGAGCAGTGGGAGCTCCTGGCATGTAACATATTGGTGGGATCTCTTTGTACCACACGAGCTGGGAGAGAAGCTGAGAGACAATCTTAGCGAGCGACACATCATTATCTAGCAGATTTCTTTCTGCTCTGCTGGTGTAAATAAAAGGGACTGAACTCACCTAGCACAGAGCTGCTGTAGAAGTCCCATGCTGTTCGAGGATCCCCATCTGTGCGGCCCTGGAGATCTGAAAGGTAATCTAAGAAGAAAAAGAAAAAATAGAGGGAAAATGTATATCTACTGGTCAAAGCATGTTCCCGGAGTGCATATCTATTGCTCGTGGGAAGAGCAGTGGAAATGTTTTACCCTGTTTTACAGCTAGACATTACGGCAAAAGCTGAACTACAACTTGCAAAAAGGGTGTCCTCACTCAGGAGAGGACAATATGGCCCTGGGACTGAAAAGATTAAATAGAAGTTAACATGGAACACAACTGGCAATGCTGACTTGGCTGGAAAAGAGGGTCCTTAGAATTGTCTCAAGTTCAAAATTGTACTTGTAACAACCATGTGTGCAGTTAAGCCTGGAGAAGCAAAGACACACAGAGAGCTGGCAAACCAGACCTTATCAAAACCAGGAAATCTCTCCTTTGCATCTGTATGAGAAGAACCATCTAATTTGAGCTGCTTCTGTCCTCTTTGCTGTTCTGCTGGAGCCACGACACTCTACAGTAACAGCACAGAAAGTGAGCACTGCTTCACTCAGCGACAGCGATGCAAAATGGTCCTTTGCACGAACACCAGGCAAGCAGCATTTGGGCAGAACAGTTTTAGAGGTGATGGCATCATTACTTGGCAGCAGAAATACATTTGTTTAGGCTATGCTGTAAACCAGGAACTGCAGGTGCTGAACACAGTGTCTTCTTCCTTCATCCACAGCCCTGTCTTCATAGTTATGTGATGACAACATTGCCAGCATTCTTGCCATGTACATTAAAGACTGGAAAGTTACTTGTACCTTCTTCAAAAAACGGTATACATTTCTATAATTAGAGGTTGTGTTGTAAAAAGACACACATGAGACCCGGTAGAGCTAAAATTATTCAGTCCCTGCTGCTCAAGCCCTTCTCAACCCCTGAACACCCAGATTTGGTCCCATGTGCTGCCATAAGAGCAAGGAGGGAAGCGCTGCCACCCCGGGACTTGCACCTACCGCAGAGGAAGCGCTTCATCACTTCGCTGGTGGCAAGCTTCACGGCTGTCTGTCCGGAGTACGTGGCCAGAGTGGGATCAGCACCATAGGAGAGTAGAAGCCACATGGTTTCCAGGTTGTCATTTGCTACTGCATCGTGGACAGGCCTGTAAGGATGGAAGCATTAGCAGATACAGAGATCAGAAGGCACAAAGCAAACAACCTGTTTGTTCCTTGTTAAGACAAATCAAGGGATGGCTGTTGGTTCTTCCTGGAAAACCACCCCTTGCTCACTGCCCCATGCCGGTCAGGACTTCGCTGCTGTTCCCCCTTCTTGCTGACTTGCCTTGTGCCATCCTGTGCACTGCAGTTCACATTGGCGCCGTGTTCCAGCAGAATATGCAGGATATCGATCCAGCCCCGCGCACAGGCCTCGTGCAGAGCTGTGTAGCCAGCGTTGTCACGGTGGTTCACGTCGCTGCTCTTCTTCTGCAGGCAGTAGAGCACTACGTCCTGCAGGAACAAGATCCAGCGCAGGCCTGGTTAGACACAAACCAAAAAAGGGCAGCACAGGCCAGAGAGAAGCAAAATCCACCAAAATTCACCTTGTAGCCCAGGCGGGCTGCTCGCTGCAGAAGGGTCTCCCCTGCATTTTTGTTCACAATCAGCCGCCGAGCTTCAGGAGGAATGTGCTGGGCCACGGGTAACTCGGGGGAAGTCTCTGGGCTGGCCTGATGGGACTTACAAACTGGCCACGAGTCCTGAGGCTTCTTCGGAGAGCGCGTTTTGGGCTGATTCCAGCATCCTTTCATCTGGAAAAGAATGAAGAGGGCTCCTTGGCACATGCAGCCACGGTTATTAACAGGAACGTCCATCCTGCTCCTGCCCACATTGAGCATCCTCCTCGTCAGCCTAAGCCTTACCTTGCCCTCGTCACAGATCCCTGCCAGGTGTTTGGTTTTGCATTTGCGCTTTCCTGATGGCTTCTCCAGCTCTTCTTGGGTGGGAGAGCCATCCGAGTGCTCCAGGTAAAAGCCATTTCGGAAGTCTGCGCGTCCTTGAGACTTGCGGGGAGACGGGGAGAGCCTACTTCTCAGTCGCAGCTCCACGCCTTTGCCCTGCCCTGACTCCTTCTGCTTCCGGTGCCTAAAATCTAAGAGAGAAACGGGAATGAGGAGCTTCTACCAGTGCAGAACAAAAGGGCAGCGGCAGCCCTGATCTCTGCCCACCACTCAAAACAAACTAATCCCTGCAAGTTTCTGATGGCTACAAACACAGAAATCCAGACTCACGGTACAGTCAATGCAGTAGGAACAAGCAGGGTGAGCACATGGGTTCTACCCAGCAGGGATGGACTCGGATAAGCACAGGATGCACCATGTCAGGCAGCTGTCAGGGTCTGAAAGCCCATTCCTACCAAGACCTGCACGGAGCCCATTCCTGCAGGACCGAGACGTGGGCCTTGCGTGTCACCAATGCAAAGCAGAGCTTTGCAGATGCAGAGCTTTGCATTGGTGACACGCAAGGCCCACGTCTCGGTCCTGCAGGAACGGGCTCCGTGCAGGCCTCGTTATGGACAGTAGGTGGCTCAGGGTCACCTTGGCAGAGACCCAGTAGGACAGAGTCCAGCTTGTCAGCCTGCTTCCTGGGAAAATGTGGTTGCTGCACGCTGCCATATATCTGCCCCAGTGTCTTCAAAACTAAGCAGGTCTCACCTGGGGACACCCCTCAGGGAGAAAGAAAATTTGGGCATGTATACCCTCTGCACCCAGAACAGTTGTTATTTTGCTGCCTACAAAATCAGACCCTGTCCTGCCCTCTCATGTCCTACCCTTAAGAAGCATATTCAAGTTTTAATTTAATATGCAGGCAGGCAGGAAGTAGCACGAGGTCTCAAGGGAAATTCAAGCTTTTCTTCCTCGCATTACGCGAAACTGCAGGGTTGTTCATTAGAGTCCTAAACATCGCGCAAGGACATGCGCTCTAGTTCACTCAAATAGCAACAGACCCTTGCAAGGGCATGACAGTAACAAGAAAATAAAAGTATGGTATGAGAAGGTAAAGTGTCATAAATACCAGTGACTTGTGCGATGCCTGCACATCTTTAGTGGTGTGTGCTATCCGGGTCTCCACATCTCAGGAAGGATGGAGCAGTGGTGAAGAAAGGCAACTAAAACAGGCAAGGGATGGAAAACCTGCCTTTTGAGAGGGCTGCGACTCCTCAAACTGTCGGGAAGCCTAAGGAAGAGGTGATCAAGGCTCACAGAATCATGGAGGGACAGATCAGCTGAATGCAGAAACCTCACTCACACAACTGTGCTATATAAGAGGTAGGGGCACTCTCCAAAATTATAAAAGAAAATACTTTGTTAGGCATGGAGAGAACTTCAGGGATTTGCTACCACCTGAGGTGGTGGACGTGGATGATATGAGCAGGACGAGTAAGAGTTTATGGGCAACAAACACTTGAAGAACCCACAAAAGATCCCACAGAAGAAGAGCAGGCTAGATGGGCTCTAGCCTCACACTGTACAACAAATTGGATGTCCTTAACCAAGAAATTGGTAACTACAGAAGGACGGCAGTATAAAAGAAGTTGAGATACTTCCCCCTTTTAAATGTTCCCTGATATCCAATTCCTTCTGCCAATGCGCAGGAGGTCTGTTTGCTTTAGACCAAGATTTTTAAATCATCCCATGAACATAGTATTTAATACACCTCATTTGGCAGGAAACACATCTGTGTAAGAGAACAAGCTCTCATGGATGAACAGCTGCCTACAGGGAGGAAACAGAGAGGAAATGGTGTCAGCCTATGAGGAGTGGGGAATGGAATGAAGAACCACCATGTCTCTGGCTGGTGCCTTAAGAGAAAGCAGTGAAAAAAAACCAAAAAATTGTGTGCCCTCCCTTCATGCTTGATATGACCACCACTAAAGCGCCAAAGAACGTGTTTGCACGTGAATGCTCAGCCCAGCTGCTCAAAGCTGTCTGCTCAAATTCAAGGGAGTGTTGGTCAGAGAGAAGAGACTGTTCCAGAGGATGAAAATACTACCTTTACCATCAGAGGAACGTAGCCTTCTCTATCCAGCTGCCTTGAAGCTAAGGTTCCTGATCGTTTTCTGGCTACGCTTGGATGATGAGGTGGTATCAGCAACCATGCCCTAAGTGATGATCTTATTTTAAGAGCTCACTCCATCCCTGGAGGGGATCTGGCCACAACAAATCAGGTGTTTGCTAGGGGATCCCTGCAGCTCATATCTAAAGATGATGCAGAGTCTTTAGCTAGTACTGCATGCAGCAGTTCTCCAAAGATGCAACTTGGCCTCATCTCCCTCTTGAGCCTTTCAGCCACCTTACA